TAGTATACATGAGGCGTGTATACCTCATGTAGTCGGGGTAGGGACATTAGGTCGCCATTAGGCTCCCACCCACGCGGACTGATTGCATGAGGCAGAAATGGTAAAGGCCGGTTCCTTGCAAAGACCCGCAAATATCCGTAAAGGGAAATCTTAGGGCTTCCTGGTGATTTGAACCTCATATCCGAAATCAGCGCCATGGGTCCGTCAACAATAAAATCATGGAAGTCGAAATTTTGCGTAAACGATGCCTCTAATTGTAAGTACTTTTACTGGAACCTGCCTTTCACACTCTGTATAAGTTTTCAAAAAATTTTTCGTTAGTGTGTAACAGTAGAATCTTACCTGTGACAGAAAAGTCAATGCTTATGAGCTTTGTCCATTGTCCGCATACAGTCAAGTATTTGTTATAATGCAATCGTTGGCACTTAACCAATAGTTACGCTTGACAGTGTACAAGTGTGTCTTGCTTGGCTTACGTGTGAATTTTAGCTTATTTACAGATAATACACACATCATGCTTATCAATGTTTAGCCATGTGATAGCTGCTTGATAACCTGCATGTTCTTTTGAGGTGCACAGTCGTCTGCCTTCGTCTCGTTTTTGTCGTCCACATCGGCTGTATATTTGCTGAACATCATCACCTATGGCTTATTGCTGTGTTGAGTATATGTCCAACAGAGTGCCGTGCAAATAATGCTTATTGATTGAGTAAGTATTGCTGATATAGATGTTGGTTTGTGCCATAGGAGACAAACTGTGTCAATTGTACAAAAAACCACAGTGCTTGTTCATGTTCATTAGAATAATTAGGTTTGTGTATTTCAAAATGATTGTTAAAATGACGATGGTTATGACTGGGGCACTTCGTTGCAAGTACATTGAGAGTATTATTATCAGAACCATCTCATAAGGGGCTCGGCATAAGGTGGCTTTCTCAATTTTTCAAGAACGAAATCCCCGTAGACTCCGCCACAAATTACGACATCACCTATGAAGCGATCATGAATGGATCAAACA